CTTGGCTATACTAACAGAATGAGCACTAAAGTCAATCTGAGCATTAACTAGCCCTACAGATCGATATATCAACTTTAACCACAAAAAGGAGATCTGTAATTATAGTATGAGAATAAGAGAAACCAATGCTGACCTACTAACTTACAAGAGGGCAGCTGATGTGGCTCAAGGGCTGAGCTCTTGTCTTGTATGCTAAGGCCCTGGGTTTGATCCAGCACCCCAGTGGTCTCCCGTGATTGCCTCTCACCTACTCACTCTGGAAGGGTAACACCAGAGTCCCTGAAGTTGCTGGCAAGGTCTTGGGTCGGCTGCCTTTCCAGGCTCACTTGCTCTCCCCAGATTATCCTCACCAAGGATCAGGCCAGGTGGTCAGAGCACCCTTCTCTTGCCCCATGCCAAGCAGAAGTAAAATGTAGTGGCAGCTTGAAGTTGGTGATGGTCATGCCCTTGTGTCAAGATGTGCCATACAGCCAGCACGGGCCTGCTACCTGCAGAGAGAGCTCAATATGCAACTGCAAATTGTCAAGGCTGTTTCTGATCTACCAATAAGGACTGTGGGTAAAAGGGGATTTTTTTTCTCGGGGCCCAATTCTATATTTAACAGTAATACATAATAGGAATCTGTGTCAAGGTAAATCTAAGTAACTCTGAAAATGCACAAAATATGTTAAGTGATGAGATGGCACTGTGCCATATTTCCATTAACAGTGCTTTCTTTGTGTGCATAGAGGAGGTACGGGAGACTGAACCCACTCCCTCACAATGAGCTACATTTCCAGGCCTTTTGTATTACTTTGAGATATGTCTAGATCAGGCTTTGTTTAAACTTTCGATCTTCCTGCCTCCGACTTGCAAAGTCCTAGAATTAAAGTCATGTGCCAGCACATGTAGCGGCACATAAGAATAGATGTCTTTTTTTTTTTCTTTCTTGTTGGTACGTAAGAATAAATGCTAATGTCACAATCAATCTGCAGGTCATGCTTTTACTAACTCAGTCAAAAATTTACTGAGTTGATGAAACAGTATTAATTGTCAATGAGGATACAAAAAACAGTAACTCAATCAATGCTTTCCACTGAACACTGTTATCTGTGGCACAGCAGAGTCCAGAGCCAAATGGGCCAGTGGTCCGTAATCCACCACTTATTACAGTGTGTTCACAGGCAACTTTCTGTTAGTTCTGCAACTAACCCTCAAGATGGCTATAACAGGCTTCCTTCCGCACAGGACTGCTGGAGGACTAGTGGCGACTGTGAGCGTTAGGACACAAGGAGTGAACTTTCAATCAAATAGAAGAGCTGGGAATATTCCCATGTACCTGACGTGAGACTGGGACAAATGCCAGAGAGAGAAAACAAAAACTCTAAGGAGAAAGCACTTACTTCTGGCTAGAGGAGATGGCAGCTAGAACAGACCGAAAGGTTGCGCAAAATTTAAAATTTAGTAAAACACAAAAAAGAAAAGACTATTTGAGGCAAAGAAAACAGAATGCAGCAAAGTTGAGAAGATACCTAAGGCAAGGGGGTGTCTCAGGTCTGCTGTGCACAGCCCTGAGGAGAACAAGAGCGACAGGCTGGAACACAGCTTCAAACAACAACCAGCTTAGGTTTCACCTGGCAAGCAACGAGAGACCGCTAAGAAGTCCTGGAGTCAGGAATAAGTTTCTTCCCAGGAAATACTGACTCCCGAGAGAGAAAAAAATCCCCTGCTACCCCAGTCCTTATTGGTAGATCAGAAACCACCTTGACAATTCGCAAATGCATATTGAGCTCTCTCTGCAAGACAGAAAATGTGGCAGCTAACACTTGGACAAACTCATTAGGACTGCACGAACCTTAGAGGGACTGCTGGTCATCCATATAAAGATAAGGAAGACAATGCTTCTCTTCAAGGAACTGTTAATTCAGTAAGAGAAACAGTTATTGATGAGCCCAAGCAGGACACAGGACATACACCAAGTGTGGAGGTAAAAGACATACGCTGTGGGACAGGAAGAGCAGCACTGGCGGTCTGACTTGCTCTGAAGACAAGGCGGTGGCGCGGGAGTCACAGGCTTCCTTTCCTGCATGCTCTGTCTCTCCGTGACAAATCCCCCTCCTACATCCCCTGCTTCTTTTGAGATCTCCGGCTCCCACACCCAGCAGAACAGTGGCTCAGACCTCCGCTGACACCAGGCAAGGCTGCCTAGAGTTCATACCGTTACTCCCACAAAATCCTCACAGCCACACAAACCGGAGGACACTTTCTCCGTCACTCCTCTGGGTTTCCCTGACTGAAAATACACGTTGTATTTACTTCTGAGGTTGGTTTTCAACTCAGAAAAGAAGCTCAAAACAGTGAAGTCCAGGGCCTCTGCCCAACATAACTGGATTCCAATCAGGGCGTGTTATGTTTGTGTTTGGATACCCGCCCCGCCAGCCTCATGCAATCATAAAGGTGGCTACATCTCGTGTTCGTGATTGGTTTGTTGTCTAGCGCTGGGATTGGTGGTGAGTGTTGCACCTGCCCAGGGGCAGGAGTCAGCATACAATGTGAGGGCGGGAAGGAGCTTTGTCTCTTTTGCCTTTTCACGTCCTTGCATGCTGCTGCCATGAACAGCTGCCCCATTTCCATGCCACCCTGCCTTGGAGCCAGCTGAGTATGGAGCTGAAACCTCCAAAAACAGTAAGATAAATAAACCTCCTCCCTAATATGGGGTGTCAGGTATTTTGTCTCATACAATGAGAAAAAAGTAACCAAGACAGGACTCTATCATCCACTAGATGGGTGGTTTTGAACAAATCTGGGATAGCTAAACCTTGTTTCCCCAGCCACAGAAACAGCTAAGTCTGAAGGCTGAAATAATCTTCATTAAGGGCCTCCACATTAAGATACTCAACTTGGAAGCTGATACCATGTTAGTTATAATGTTAACAACTACCTTTAGTGAATGCCATTCCCACCACTCTGAAGACCGTCATATATTTATTCAGTCCTACCAGATAGCTACTAGGATTGTCCTCAGCTCACAGGAAGCAATCTGATGCCTCAGTATAGATTACCCATGTGAATGGGTAGCAGGAAGCAGAGACAGTCATCAAATGGAGATTCACAGATAATTTTGTGAACCTCCCTACCTATTGACCATCAATTAACTCTACAAATAAATAGTTGGTGGCCCCATACTGTGAATCAGGCACTGGAATACACTAATAAAGGCAAGGAAACAGTAAACCAGCATGGAAAGCCTCATAAGCCATGATTTATCTTAAAAACTAATGATATTTACTTTATTAGCTGTAAGCATATAAACTAAAAAACTGAATTTCCCTATTTCTTTGTTTTGGAAATGTGTTTACTAGCTTTGCAAACAATTCTTTCTATTCTAAATAAGTCAAAGTAATTTGTAAATGTTACATGAAATGCCTATACTGTTCAAAGTATCTACTCTGCTAAAAATTCGAAGTCCTTTAAAAATACCAGCTATGAAACCCTATAAAAGCTGTTTCTTGCTTTCCCATTATGGCATTCCAAAACGTGGGGCTCTGACTACCAATGTTCATGGCCAGCTGACATTTACTACAGATGCTTCGTATCTTTCTATATTTCATGTCTCTTTCATTTTACTTCATCTGCCTTTACTTTTCACTCTAGAATATTACCCAAGTAAGAGTCAACTTGAGAAGTTTAGAAGCTTAAGGACTCAGCAGGGAGTCGGAGTGCTTACTTTGTAAACATCCCTCTCTCTGAAAGAGGAGGTCAGGGAGATGGTGTCTGTGCCTCACCCACCTTGGGAGTGGGAGCCTGCTTACAACACGAGGGAGGAAAACAGGCTTGTTCTCCCCCTTTTGCTCTTGCTGCCACCTGAAGTGTTGCTTCTGTGCCCCGCCACCCTGCTTTAGAGCCAGCTGATTATGGACTGAAACCTCCACAAACTGCGAGCTAAATAAACCTTTCTTTCTTTATTTTAGGTGTCAAGTATTTTGTTTTAGCAAAGGAAGAAAAGTAACCAAGACAGAATTTGGTATCAGAGAAGTGGGTTTGTTGCTGTGACCACATGTAAGACCATGTGGTTGAGAAGCCTTTGAGAATGGCGTATAGGAAGAATTTGGAAAGGTTAGAAAATGTCGCCTGAAAGAGTGGAGCTAGAGGGTCTTAGGCTGTTCTGCATGGAAGATTCGGTTCAGAGCTCAGAAGATCAGCAAACTGATGTGTTTTATAGGTTAGCAGAAAGTTTGTCTGCACTCCACTCATGTACAGAGACTCTGCCTGAGACTGAGGTTAGGGGCAGCAGACTAAACTGGAAGAAGAAACTTCAAGGCATGGCTATTTTGGGGCTTTCAGTCAGACCTATGTTGAGACCACAATCTTAAATGAAATACATCAGACACACATGTTCAAATACCGCAATGGTTTCTCTCATGTGAGAAACCGAAAATGTAAATAAGGATCAGAATGTACAACAGGCATTAGAAAATGGTACAATGCTCAGGTGAAAAGGGGAGCAACAGAGCTGGGAGAGGTAAAAAGACAAGAAAAAAGACTAAAAGGGAAAAACGGCAAAGTGTTTCTAAGTGTTTCTAAGGAGGGGAGAAAGACAAAGGGAGGAAAGGGGAATGGGGGAAAAAGAAGCAAGATGTATCATGTACAGGTACAAATCCCACATGATGAGTGTGATCCTGATGTGTATCTAAAATGTACCGATAAAATTTTTAAAACACCATCCTGTTACACTGTGTTACATATTAATTTCTGGAGTAAAAACAGACTAAAGAACTTAGTTAGGATCTAGAACTTATATTTACAATACTTCTAATTATCTTCCCACTTTTGTGAAAAGGGAAGTTTCATAGGTGGAACAGTTAAAGAAAAGTGTCACCTATGTGACATGCAAAATATCTAACTGTTCCCTAATCTAATAGAACACTATTACACTCCCAGGTGTGATCTAAGTAGATACAAAGTAATATAGTGGGAAATTTCACAGTATTAATACAACTGGAGCTGACTTAAACTCTTACCTGTCTGTTAGTCCATAAGCCAGATCAAGCATGTCATTCTCCTCATCAGTGATCGCATCTAACTTCTCATAGATGTGATCCTCAAAGATGAGATGGCAGGTAGAGCACGCCAGGGTTCCCTCACAGGCACCTGCAAGAGAGTGCAACACTGAACATGTCTTCTACATTTGCACAGTCAAGGCCTAAAGTTAAAACACTGCTAAGATTTAGAATCAGCAGCATTGGCACAATCAATGAAAGTCCTTTAATAGACTTTAATAGACATGGCTCCCCCACTACACATTCACAGCACTTGAAATCACTAGTACAGTATTCTCAGAGACTCTGGGGGCTGGGCATGCAGCTCAGCAGTACAGCACCCACCTGGCAAGCACGAGATCCTGGGTTTGATATCCAGCTCACAACACGCAGAATCATGTTCTGACTAAAATAAACTTTTAAAAGTTTTTTAGTTTAATAATTTTAAAAAGCTGGGCCACAGATATAGCTCAGTAGCACAATGCCTAGCAAATGCAAAGTTGTGAGTTTGATTCCCAGTACCAAAAAATTAAAAAACATTAATAATCATTTTAAAAAGCTACCACACAACTCTCAAGACTGCAGTCTTAAGAAACTTCAGTTTCAGTTGGATTCCCTTTTAGTCAGTAATACTACTGTACACAAAACATGTAATGGAACTGCTATTAGTACTGCCAACCTTGATTTGCCTCTAAAAGAATTATTTAGTAAGAGTTGTTCCCTTCTCAAAACTTCAATACTTGTTATTAACATTTTATTATCTTTTAAAAGTAAAGAAAGAAAAGAGAAGCTTCCCTAAATCTTTTTCACTAAATTCAATTCAAAGCAGTACCAGGGTCACAAGAGAGACAGACCATCTAGTCAAGTCCAGGCGGCAGGAGCCTGACCCGGCTAGGCTCCCTGGCTTCAGCCACAGGTCCTCTGCTATCAGCCGCATCACGCTGGACCACTGTACCCTGCCCACCCCAGTCTCCTCAACAGTGACTGTACCGAGCTTGCGTGGCAGTTGCAAGAATTATCTGTGAGTATGTACTTACTTATGTTCAAATGTGTACTGCCTGCCATGACTGGCAGACAGCAAGTACTATGTAAGTGTTGTAATCATCAGTATTTAGAAATTATAAGAGATCTTAGAGCAATTCAACTTTCTTCTTATACACAAAAAATTTAATCCAAAATGTGAAAGAAATGGATTAAGATCATATTACTATTTAGTATGAGTTAGATTTTGGCTACGTTTCCAAATGAAGACTAGTTTCTGCTATACAATAATGTGAGTCACCTTAATTACGTATACATACATATATATATATATATATATATATATATATATATATTTATACACACACACACCTAACTTTGTTCATATATATAATACATATTTACTAATTCATTATAACAAGTTGCTTACTTCCTTTTTTTTTTTGTCTTTTTCCTTTTCATCGGTACCAGGGATCAAACTCACAACCGCCTGCTTGCAAGGCAGGTGCTTATGCCGCTGAGCTAAATCCCCAGCCCCTTACTTCCTTATTTTTGAGTAAACATGAACTTCACACAAAAAAATGTAAATGGGCATATCTTCTTAAAACAGGGAGTGGTCTTCTTTATTGCAGTAAAAAGAGACCTGATGCAGTGGAAATCTGAGGTCAAGGTTTGGGCTCTACTTAAACAATCCCACCATTATTAGCTGTGTCCTGGGGGAGTCTCTAAAGGCTAAGTCTTCTCATCTGCATAATGGAAGAGTGCGGCGTCATCTCTAAGGTCCAACGGGCACTCATATCCTTGATACCACAAAAAAGGGGTTAATAATTTTAATGAATTCTCCATTAACATCTGAGAAGTATTTACTTGATTTCTATTTCTATCTCATCAATATCCAACCCACACGAACTCCAAACTAAAATGGCACACCCCTCTGCAGTACTGCAGAAAGAAAAGGCTTACAAAACACATTCTAGGACCAGTTAGACAGGTCCTAGAATGATATGCCACATGCAACAAAAGCAGCAAGGCAAGTAACACCCACCATCCAGGGCCGGGTGCTGCGGGGGCGGAGAGAGCCTCACACGCACAGCCTGAACTTGTCCTGCAAGCCCACCGCTCTGCGCTTTGTGTCCTGACACAGTGGCAGGTAACACACACACTCAGTGGGAAGCCTTTCCCACTGAGGTACCATGGAAGTGACACTAGCCAAGGGGTCACGAACACCTTCCCTCCTTCCCTCTTCCCTGGATCCAGCCCTAGGAACAATGGCTGTGAGCACGCTGAATAAAAGATTTAAGCAGACAAGACTGGGCGCGTTCAGCAGCAAAGTGACACAGCACACTTCAGTATGGATAGATTCAAGAGGATCAAGAGACCAAAAAGCCATGGATTTCACCCAAGGGCAACGGAAGAAAGAGATGAGGAAAGGATGTAAGGACAGGGACAGCCAAGGGGACACCTCCTAAAGAAGGGGCGTCAAAGTGAGCATGACGGCTGATAGAAAAGCAAGAATGTTTGCAGTGTCGGAAAAGCTCGAGGAGGAAAAGCGTGCGTAAGTGCTGGTGGACAGAGAGAAACGGCGCAGCACACCAGGAATTCCCCCCGAAACACTCAGGGTAGTCGCTCCTGTGCCACCTGGCTAGACACCTTTGGCCAGCCTTCATAGACTTCAAAAGTTTCCCTCTCTTCCTCAGAAAACTTCATTTTAACCTTTTCTTCTAGGTCTTTCATTTTCCAGTGATTTTCATCATCACTCTCAGGAAACTTGCCGATGTTCCACATCTTGCTTAAGTCGTCAAGCTCAGAGTTGAATACAGTATTCTAGTAAGAACTTGACAAAAGTTAAATGTATGCAGATCAGCTTTTAATCCCCACATGCTGAATTCCTACTGGACGTTCCAGCCCTCTAATTTATTCTTTAAACAAATGCACTGTAGTAGAGTCCCCATCCTGGGACACAATCTCTAACTCACCCGGCTTTGGGGGGAGAGGTGCATTCTGGCTCATTTCTGAGGGTTCAGTCCATGGTCAGCATGGTCCAATACAGAAACAACGTGGTGGGAGGGCTAACAGAGGACGCTGACCATCTCAGGGCCAGCAGAACAGGGAGCACAGAAAGACCTTGTGAGATACACCCTCTAAGGCATACCCCCACGCCCACCTCCTCCTCTGGGCCCCATTTCCTTACAGCACACTCCGCTGTGGTCTCATCAATGGCTTAATCCACTGCTGAATTCAGCACGCCCAAGATCCCACAGCCTTCTGACCTCCTTGAACGCATAAGCCTTCTGAAGGATATTTCAGATCTACACCTCCTTACTTTATGGTCCCCTTCAAAATTCTTCTGACACAAAGTTCTCAACAAATTGTAATTTTCCTATTCTATATACTACTTAGAAATTGTCATAAAACAAAACTATAAACCTCAAAATAAAATCAGATCAACCTTGTGATAGCCCGAACCCTAAACCAGAGAAACATAACAATCAAGTTGAGTTACAAATATCACCGAAGAATCAAATCCTCAGCAAAGGTTTACAAGGCCCCATGGACAGCACTTACTGGAAGAAAACTCGATGCCCCAAAACTCCAAAATAAAACAACGAACAGTTTTTGAAGTTTGACTTCAAACAGTTTTTGAGATTTGACTCTCATGTTTTACTCTTTAAATGGAAAGATTTGAGAGAATAACACAGATACGTACTGTATCTGAAAAAAGGTATAAGAAAAACAACTTTTTAAGTAAGGTAAAGATTTCAATGTAAAAAGAACCTAACCAGAGGCTATCTACAGGTGGAAAAGTTATGCCCTTTCTGTTCTATTTTTTCATTTCTTTTTCTAAGTGACTCTTCTTTCTTTGGCATTAATATACTGACCGTGTCTTTCTTGTGATGACAAAAAGCAGTGTAAGAGTAGCTACCTTTGCCATGTATCAATAGACAGATAGACACACACACAGGATCATGAAGTAATTACACTTTATGAGGCATGCACGCTCAAGAGACTTTGGAAACAATGTATCATATGGCAACAAAGTTCTTCTCAGCTACCTGCACTGGCCCACACCTACAATCCCCGCTATCTAAGAGGCTGAAGCAGGAAAACCACAAACTCAAGGGCAATCTTGGCAACATGGCAAGAACCACCTCAGACAGACACAATGTAACACAGGAGCTTACAGTTCATAAATGGCAATCCTCATTTGCTTTGTTTTAAAGTTTAAGAACAAAAATTTGAAGTAAAACAACTTTTTCCATAGCAGTGGAAAAATACTCATGCACTGAAGAATAGAAAGGACAGCGGACAGACAGACAGGGAGGAAGTTGTGAGATCTACTGGACAGTACAGTGATCTGAGCCAATACTGTACATTTTGAAACTGCTAAAAGTAAATTTCAGGTAAACAATAAATGAGGTGCAGGCTGCCTGAGTCAGTCATCCCACACAGTAACACATACTGAACATCACACTGTACCCACAAACACACTGATTATGACTAGTCAGCTAAAATAATTCTAAAACTACTTCATTCCTTAGCACAGATGAAAATCTGGTTTAGAAACAATGTAGCTACAAATCCGGGATCCCATCATTTCTTTTACCATCTTTGCGGGGTGATACAATCTTCAGGAACTTAAAGGTGCATACGTTTTAGTACTGCTCTCGGGTTACTGGCTTTTTGGCTAACAATGCGGAGCTCTCTCTTCTAAACTAACAATGATACTTACTGTCAGAATATGTTTTTTGCTTTCTTAGTAGCATTTTGTCATGTCTAATTTTTGTTTCAAAAATCTTACAGATGCATTTTTTTGACATTAACATTTAATGCTTGGCTAAAACTGATACAGGCTTTAAAAATTACTTTAAATTACAACTACAGCGTAAGAGATCAAGATCAGCAACCCAGCTAACAAAACTACAGCAAACTATTCAGAAATTGATACAAGCTTTAAAAATTAATTTAAATTACAACCACAGTGTGAAAGACCAGCAATTTAGCTAACAAAATTGCAGCAGACTACTCCAATGTCTGTGAACTGTGTGCCTCCCAGGGCGCTGAGTAAAGGTGGCAGGTCCTTGTTACTAGCTAATGCCACCCCAGCTTAGCTGCAGTAATCTGTGCAAAATT